AAAAAAAATTTAAATTTTTTTTAATTACAAAACCATTCCCTTTTTTTTTTTTTTTCCCCCCCCCCCAAAATGACTGGTTCAAAACCAAATTTTTTAGAATTCAACTGACAATTGTTAACAATTAAGTTTTAAAGCATATTTGTTAAACTTCTACTGAGGTGTATTCATACAGTTAACAATAACAAAAAAGATTTAAAGAAATTTATTATATATCTGTCTTTAATAAAGAATATTTTGATTTTGTTTCTTCCTAAGTGTATAGTTACTTGTTAAATAAAAGTGAAAATCTTTATGTGATCGATCCGAATAACATTTCTGTCAGATAGAAGTACATTGTAAAAAACTATTAGTATTTGAATTCACTTGAAAATATAAGTCTCAAGAAATTCAATTTATAATCTAAAGTAACCCAATACAATAGTATTTATTTTGAAATATGTTGCTTATGTGAGAAGAAAATGTTGAACAAACCTATGCAACAGTACATACACAGAAGCTGTAACTTTGATTTGCTAAAATATTCAGTTTCATCATAGAAAAAATACAATCTCATACTAATAAACTTCTATAGGAATCACACTTGAAGTAGAACTCCCATTTATTTGTGGTATTTCAACATGATTGATGATGGCCGACATGTTGAAGTGAAGTCATTATCAATGGTTTACAAAAGCTATATAGTGTACAATATAAAAATGAAGTACAATACATTGGTTCAGTTTATCATGAGCATTCAGTACCGTATTCTTGTTTTTCAAGAACACAACTGTGCATGAATTTAAGCTCCATAAACAAATGTGGTAAACTAACAAGCAGGCCTCTGACGACTGCCATCAACATGTGAAATGAGCATAATTATGACACAAATAACTGGCTTTCGTAGTGATAATGTAGTGGCTACAAACATTACATTACCCAAAGAGAAAGATAATTATATATAGTTGTGAATAAAGCTTTAAGGGAATAGATGTCTTTATGACTGAAAATATAATAACAAGTCTTTTAGGTCACAAGTTAACCTACTGTGTGTGTGTATGTATACATAACTTGTACTTCAAGTTATAATTTACTTAATACAGGTGGAGCAAAGCACTCTACCAGAATGCATTAAGTTAAATTTATTTTACAGGAAACTTAAAATATCATATTTAAAACATTCTGAATTACTGCCATTAAAGCAATTTCCCATAATTTTACATGTATTAGAATAAAAACAGTTGCTTGTTCATGGGGATAGTTTATGAATACATCCTGATTCAAAAACTTATATATAAATATGCAAGTACAAAAAAATTAACAAAATCAATTCAAAGTTTTTGTTTATTGAATAATACTATAGCCTAGTTAGCTAGACGCATTGGTTAATAATGAATATTGTCTGTGTTATTTCAAACTCTGTGTATTGCAACAAAACATGTACTATTTCAAAAGATTTACTTCAAAACACAGAGTTAAAATAAACTTGTTCTCTTTGTCACATTAACAGTTACTTTTTGTAAAAGTTTTCAACTACTACAGCAAGCAAAATTAATGACTACACATGAGAATGAATTTTCATTCACAATTAAAAATACAGTCTAGAAGTTATAACATTAAGGCTAGAAGATCCTCCTGCTACAACTAACAATATGATGTGTCAAATTTAATTTAACTTTACAGCTCTGTATAATGAAAAAGATTTTTGCAAGTTTGAAGTTTCATTAAATAAACCTAAATATGACTTAACAAGTCTATGAAGATATCTCTAAGCCTTACAGTGAGAAATACAATTGCTGTTAAACAGTATAGCACCCATAGGATTAGAATTTGTTTAAACTGCTATATAAAAATAATATCTTGTAAGAAGTTTCTGTACAAGCAAAGTTCTGATTATATTTGTAAGTAAGCTCCTTTAAAGCTGGAAATACCAAACTTCCAAGTGATCATTTTTCTTAGTGAGCAAGACACTTAATGTTTACAATCAAAATTACAACAGATAAAATTAATTATTACAGGATCATGCAGTAATGCTCTTTTTTGTTCTTCTATGTGCATGTATTTTAAGTAACCTTTGAATTTTTAAAATACAAAATGTAATGTTAGTGGCTAAGTACATAAAACTATTGTTACTTACAAGTTGGATGATTGTGATATATTTCTTCCAGCACAAGTAGGGTTTTATTGCGGGCCCAAAGGCAGAGAGTGCATAGTAAAGATACATAAGGACATGAACAAAACAGTTTGCCATAGCACCAGGGACAGCTGAAAAATAAAATCCAGCAGTGTCACATTTATTGAAGGGTTCTCTCTACAAAATCTTTAAAGCTTTTAAAAACAGCTCAAAAAAAAAGTGAGGGGTCTAGGAGTCACCAAGTGCCTCAGTGGGGGTTGTTAAGGCAAAAAAAAAGCCCTAGCTTTGAGCATTTTATATTAGCAAACACAAAAAGAAATCACTATTTTTAAATAGTTCCAGACAACTTCCTAATTTCTCCAATATTGTTAGATGTCATATAATGTTGTAAAACAATACTGAGCTTTAGGCTCTACTCCCAGTCAGGTGGGATGCATTCAAGTGACTGCTATGGTAACTCATCAGGGCCAATTATCAACTTTTAGCTAGTTCAACCTAAAAAATGTTTTCAAATCAAACTTAAATGGATTAATTTTTTTCTATTAAGTGTAGTAGCTGCTAGTATTAATGTGTATATTCAAATGATAAAAACTTCTGTCTGCACAAATTAGCAGTATTGATTTATATAAAAAATGGGGGGTGGGGGCAAATTACTAATGTAGCAGTGAGAATTTCAAGTTACTTTCACCACTGCATGAAGTTGAATTTTGAAAAAGAGTACCTGAATTGCATAGTAATTTCTTTTTTATACAAGCAAACAAGCTAAAGGCAAGACAAACATTTTTAAAATCAGTAAGAAATTATGGTTGTGATGATGAGTATCATTCATTAATGACATTAAAAAATTAAAATTAAACAAGTTACCTTGGTATATATATCACACTATAATTTGAAGCAGAGAAAAGCATAATAAAACAATTGTATATTTCATTCATGACTTCCATATGGATTAGTCACATGTGAATCCACAAAAACAAATTAATTCAAAAGATCTAAAAGCTTCATCCACAGATCAATCAAATTAGATTAACATTCAAATTGATGCCAATTACAGAGTTGCAAGGTTGATAATGAAGATAAAAAGATAGCACAAGTGTAGTTCAGTAAAGAAAGTTATCATGAAATACAGTTCACACACTTTATATTTTATGAAAGTGCACTGGATGGGAATGATAGAGAACACTGTTAAGAAAACAAGAATCAGGATATATAAAATTACCTGCTTAAGTTTTACAATGCCTTTATTGGTAAAACCATGGTAGTAACATATTTATGAGATGTACAATTCTTTGTTTTCCTCAATTCTTTAATTATGAGGTTTCACCAATTACTGACAGTTTCATGTATTAATTATTTGAATGCCAAGCATATTAATGCATCTTAAAATTCAGCTAAACTATTTCAGCTTTCCAATATTAAGACATGACTCTAAATTCACAAGTAAACTGTTCTTTGTGTTACAGTACATTACAAGTAGCTTTGACTCTTGTGTTACAGTAAATTATAAATAGCTTTGACTCTTGGTTAATCAACTTGGAAAAATTTTTAAGAAATAAAAAGTAACACAAAATGTTCTACAATCTTCAGAAGCATAATGATTAAGAGAAGTTAAAAGAAATACCATATGGAAAACAAGTGACAGCAACATTAAACCTTAGCAAAAAATCAACCCGCACATAATGAGGAAAATATAAACAAAACATAATCTCACATAAGTAGTAATCTAATAATGTAACCAAGGTTTTATATGTAAAAAGAGGTATTCTGTACTTAAAAGTTAAAAAAGTACAAACAGCTTAAAATCTGATTACAAAAGAATATACTAAAGAATTGTACATTGGATAGTTTTTCCACAACCTATATGCTATTAAACAAATTTATTTTGTGTTAACATCATCTTTATAACATTAACTGTAAGATCTAAAGGAAAGAACACAATGCAACAGCTGTTTACAGTTTTATATATAATAATAATATTTTTATCACTCAGAACTTTATCACTGCTAAATTTATGGTGGCAGTTTGAGATTTGAAAAAAATATATTGCTAATTCCAATACGAAAAAATTAGTGGACAATATTAACTGGAAAGCATCACTATACAATAAATTGATTTGAAAAATCTATATAAAATACTACTTAATGATGCTTTAGCAGATTAGAGGTTATACAGTTTTATAATTATCTATACATCTGTATTTGGCTATAATATCTTATATACAATTAAACAAATTTCCAATAAATTTTGAAAGGTTCTCAAAACACAGTATGCAAAGTAGTATCTGTATGCTATCACAAAAGTATAATTATTAATTATTTACATCATTCCTGTTGTGCCTAACTGTACATACACATACAAAGAGAATAGATTGTTACAGCTCACAACTCACTTTAAATTTGATATTGAGTTACAATCAAATTATTTAAAGAACTGTAACTCCTAAGAGCTTAAAATTTTAGTCATATATGGATAGCCTTTTATTGTAAAAAAATACACACTGTAAGTGTTTCAAAACAAAGAATTTGGTTGAAGTTCTTAACATAACTAGTGCTGCCTTAGAACAGTAAAAATAAATAAAATATGTTTTTCATCTTGCCTAAAACCCCACTAAAAACGTAATTATGAGAAAATAGCACTGGATCAATATAAATCCTAATACTGTACTTGTCCTTCTCCAAATCAAATAACAATGAGAAGTACAGGTATCATTGCTGGTGAAGCCCATTCTTTAAAGAGTTGATTAAAGTCTGCAAACCTGTTTTCGTATGATCTGTATAATAGTGCTTTGTATTTTAGATTGTGTTCATAAAGCTTTAAACCAACATGAAAATTTTCAGCAAAAAAGGGGGGACAGCAACTATAGGTTAGGACACCTTCAACAATATAATGATTTGAAGGTTATCTAGTCTGGATGCCTCTGTCACCAATGTAAATATTTATACTAAAATAACAAAGAATAAGTAGTGACTGACTAATCCTGGAATAAAAACTCCAACAACAAAGAGTATAATGTGCTATTCTTGAAAATACACACACATAAAGAAAACTCATGGTGTAACACTACATTACTTACTCTGTTGATTCTATTTTCAAAGTTTCAAAATATATTACAAAATTTAATACTTGTTCATATTTTACTTTTAGTGAACAAAGTTTTTAAAAACATTTTCAGCATATCTGTGGAATAATAAAATTCCAGGATTATGGATATTTTTTACAAGTATAAGTACACTCTTTAATGTTTTTTTAATGTTTAATATGTTTGCATTTGTTGTTAAGTGCTTAATCAAGATTTTTTTATTTTTCTATTGATAAGAAAAGAAATATATGTATGAATTCTAAATATAAATTTGAAATACCTTAAGATTATTAATTAACAGTAATAATATCACTGAACTGATTAAAACTTGCATTGTTATACAATAAAAATTTCTCCAAAATAAAAGTATGCAATTTCTTGAATATCTATTTACACAAGTTAAAGCTTTTTGAAGCTTGTAAAAAAAACAATAAGCAATCTTTGAATACAACTGATTGAACTCAACATTGCTCTAGATAACCAAGTTCTTGTTTATTTTAGTCACTTTTTTTATATTCACAACTAACTTGGGATGCTTTATAAAGGTGTTTTTCTTACAATTTATTTTACTATAAAAATCACTTTCTTTTTTTACAAAGTTTAAAATTTACTCCTGTTTGCCTAATATTATAAGTACATAGTAACTTAAAACTTATTATCAAACTGCACAAAAAAAATCATAAACTTGAAATCTGAGACTTCATGCAAATTTGTCTCTTAATGTACAATTTCAGAATTAAAAATTTTCAAGCAAAGTTATACAAAGAGTTACCTGCACATAGTTCTCCCTAAGTTTGAACTGTCAGACTAGAAGAAAGGCAACTAGTCAGCAGCACAAACCTCAAACTCTTGCCTTACCGAAGAGAGGGATTTGAATATCGCTCGTATAGTGCACCCACAGCCAAAATTTACAGCACGTTTGTGTGGCAACCAGGTACAAAAACCATGAACCTTCAAGTTCACAGTTCAGGAATGCTAACCACTAGGCCATACCAGTCCATTTAATTATGTGATCGTACCATTAATTCATCTATGCAATAATTAATTATTAACAGTGTTCAATAGTTTTTTATTAACTATTAAGCAAACTGTTCAAGGGCTTATGGATGAATGTAAGAGCTTGATAAAAGTTGATTCAGGAAGTACAGCCATCGTGCAGAAAAGTTTCCTTTTAATACACTGCCAAAGACAATCTCTTCACATTTGTTCATTGTATAAATGTCACAGATAGAGTGTGTCCTGTCACATTTGTAAATTACCAGTAGAAAAATAAGGAAAATAACAACATTACTTTCTGGTACCCCTAATACTAAGAAAAAAAAAGTTTATTTGTTTTTTGTTCCAAAATATTTCACAATCCCAGACAACCATGATATGGGAAACAAGGGATATTTGTCATAACAGAAATACTTGAGTCACTATGCACAACATATATATTGTACCAAACATTAAATAACTGAATAGAAAATAACTCATTTGCTAAGAATTTTACCTGGTTTGGAAAATAATGACAAGTGGCAAAGAAATCCTGAAACTGAAGAAACAGCAAAGTGTTGAAAGTAAAATTGAAGAAAATTATGTTTTTATTTTCAATATGCAAGCCTGTAAGATCTGTTTTAAATCTTCCCAAGACCAGGAGGCCAAAGACATTGCAAAATGATGAAATTGGATGAAATGTAAACAAAAATTCACTCTTAACCCTCTTGCCCCGAGTATCCTTTACTGCACATGACACAGGGTTTTAGTGTCTTACATTCAAAATTTTATTAAGCTATTTTTTGTTTATGTTATACCAATTAGTATAGCATAAAATTTTAGCTAATAATCCATATTTTAATAGTATGTAAGTTTTAAGTTCTTAATTTTATAAGGCAATATCTAAAAAAATCCTGAATTTCCCCTAGTGTGATACATTTTCTCTAGGTATCGTCTCATCTCTATTTCATTCCCCCTCACCCCAGAAACTATGAAATTAAATGGAAATTACTCATTATAAAATCGTCATTGCTCAGACAAACCATAATTTTTATAGTCTTCAATTTTATTTGGTTACAGAGCTATGAAATAGAAAATCAGACCCCTCCTACCACACCCACCTGTCATATCCTCTCTTTCAGGATTTGTTAATAGTTCTCTCTCTTACATTTAATTATATATTACCTATAACCAATAGAAAGTCAAGGTTTTAATCTATCAAATGGTGTATTATATAACATTGTATTCTGAACACAGAAGTCAATTTCACTTTTAATTCAAATTTGATTCCCACGGAGATCACAACGACTAGCTTGGATGCATTTGTAACTGCTCTTGTCGCATAGTTAGAAAACCAGAAGAATTGTGAATAGAGATGTCTTTAGGTTAGTTACGGTTAGATTAGGTAATATAAACAATAATAATAATTAAAAATATTTCACAAGGCATGCATGCAAGCAGCTCGTGGGTAATGTAATTCGATAGCGTAACATGAGCTGCACATTCCCCAAGTGATTTACAACTTATAATAGCATGAATAGTAGTTAGACACAGTTCAAAGAGTAATAAATCAATAAAATGTAATTATAAAGAGATGTATACTGTTATGAGCTTAAAGCTACTTAGAATAAACGAATGCAGTTTCAAGCTACATTTGAAGTCATTCTGGAAAGAAAAGGAGGGTAATTTAGATTTATTTCAATATTTTTTTGGTGGTTAGGAGTTAAATTGGCCAACCTTGTATAGAGTTAGGTTAGAGAAAATAACAGATAAAATATAAATTTCTTCTGAAAACACACACTTGAAACGTATTTAGGAGGTTTTAGAGATTACACAAATGAAATTTGAGATTTTTGAGATGAAAAAAAAAGTATTTTTAATCTTAACATGAAAATTACTTTGCACATGGACTATTCAAAACAAATACTCGATATATTCAAGGACAAATCTTTTTTTTAGTTTATTAAAAATACTTCACAAACAAATATGATTTTTTGTATGTGAAAGGTTATAATGTTTACTGAAAGACTGTTAAATTTTGTGAAGATATACACGCTAAATCAAAAGTTAGTAGTATCAAATCTATAAAGACTCTATATGAGTACAAAATAGGTCACGTGGTTGGTCAAATTGACCAAGCTCATGGGGAGAGAGTTAAAGTGTTTTTGTACACCTTGATAGCCAAGAGAGATCAGCTGTACAAGCCAATTCATTAATGTGGTTGGAGCAAAATTAGTGGATCAAGATTCATCATAAGGTATAAAAGCTTATATTGATTGCCTCTGAAAGGTTCTGTTCATCCTAACAAGACAGAGAAAACATTCTTCTGAATTAATCTGAGTAAAACAGGGTTGGTACCACAGCAGTTATCCTCTCTTGTAGTCCTAGACTTTGGTAGTAGGAAGGCACTATCAGGATATAAGTACAGAGCCTTCCTAGTAAAGTGTACAAGAAGCATCAATGACATACATGTATGATTGTCTCCAGTCTGAAGCAAGCACCAGAAGAAAGTATGTCTTCAGGGGAAAAATGGTAGAGTGAACAAGTTGCAAAGGCACAAGAGCAAATGATTTTAAGACAAGACTAAAGTCTTACTGAGGGCATCGTATAGGCACTGTTAGATGAAGTAAGCAAAAACCTAAATAAAATATCCTGAAAGAATGGTGACAACAGAGGAAGATGACTTTTGTCACATCTAAAGACTGTAGAGATAGTAGCTCTGTAGAGTGCAACAGAAGAAGACAAGCAATGATCATGAAATAAGTACATGAAAAATGAGGCAATCAATTTTTAAGTTGGAGAAAGATATAAAACAAAGTTTTTAAGGCATATGGTACATGGCAACAGAAGAACATCTGCAAGAATGTAGCAGCATCTAAGTGAGAAGAGAAGCCACTTTCTCTAACAAAGGACTGTATAAAAGCCAGTAGTTAAGATGTAGATGACAAATGTTGTTGGGAAATAAAGACATTTAAGGCTGACATAGATGTTTCCAAAGAAGTAATGGAATAGGATCCCCTTGAGATAAATGACACAGTAGTGAAACCATAATTAATCAGACCAGTGTGGAACAATAAGAGGAACTTGAAAAATCAACATATTGATCTTGACTGATACCCAAGGAAAAAGACAAAGAGAAAGGGAGGCATAGAGAAAAAAAAATTTCAAAAGATTGGCTCAAAGCATCTAGCACTAGAGAAACAGGATCTGGAGTTGGGGACCAATAAGGTAGAAGAAGATGGTTAACTACTGTAGAGCTACGGTTTGAAGAATTAGAAGAATGATTAATGATAGTATTTCAACCACACTATATTGACTGCCAATGATGTATTTCGCTTAAAATCTCTGAAGGACTAGATAAAGAATGTTTGTTTAAAAATATAATAACCTAATACTAATGTTTTATGACAAGTATAACTAATTATAATCATGCTTTGCCAGCTTGTAAAAGGCATTTACACCATAACAAGAGTAAAAATGCTTAACACGCAACTTGAATTATCCAAAGTTCCAAAAGATTGATGTGAGAAAGTGATTCCTGAGGATACCAAAGACCCTAAAAAAACAATCTCCTAATACAGTATCCAATCCTTCAATAAAAGCATCTCTGAAAAAGTGAAAACCTGAATTAGGTGGAAGAAATGAGGAACCTATAGTGGTAAATTCTCAACTGAGACAAACTTGAAGGTAATCAAGAGTAGCAGGAGAAAGATAAATTTCTTGACACAACTGGTATGAAGACAGAAACCACTTGGAGGCAAGATCACATTAGAGATGTCTAATATGAGCAGAACTCAATGAAATTGCCTCATATAAAGAATCCATCATTCCCAAAACAGAGAGGAAAGAAGTAGGCACACCCCAAATTCCAATAATTGTAAAGCCAATAGAGATGGTGAAAAATTATTTGAAAAGTAATCATACAAGATCTTAAATACACCAGACATTGAATAGGTATAAGCTAAGACTGATACTGTGAACAACATATCCCAAAGATAAAGCTATCTGGTTGGTTGATTGAATGCAAGTAAATAACTGAGAAAAAAATAAGGCATTTATCCATTCAATGATGAAAATAGTTATTGTGTGTAAAAGGCTAGCTATATCTTACTACCCAAATTGCTGATTCTGTGAAGTATTTCTAGTCAGTAAATTATGCCCTAGTGTAGGACCCCATGCAAGGTTATAATTCTCTGCCTGAATAGATGAAGAGGATGTTTACTTCTCAGTCAACAATGAAGGTAAGGCAGAAGGGCAACATTACTCTCTGGTCATCTTGAAAAGGGACAATGTCCAAAAGTAATGTTAAAATTTTAATAAACTAATGCTGTTATAGATCTCTCAAACAGGAAAGTTGTTTAGGTGAAATACCTGCTAAGACAAAATAATGCAGGAAAAAAGCTTTTCAAAATCAGATGAAATTATGGAGGGGAGTACCCTGAAACACAGCACAACAAGCTAAAGTGTCAAAGAAACAAAAAAGAGACAGCAATAATATAAGTAAAACCTGAAGTTAATGAAGAATGTTAAGCATATTTACTATCTTGACTATAAAAAAAAAAAGAACAAAAACAGGTAACAGTGTGCAAGGCAGAAAACTGACAATCGGTCGTATAAGTAATATGAGAAATACAATATAAGGTCTAATTAGTCTATTGAAGTTTTGTTAGTTTCTAAAAGCATTAGCAACAACATAATTATCAGAAGACATTGGAAGAAATAAGAATTCAATAACTAAATCATCTAACATGATAAACTAGTACCAAAGATTTAACACAGGACATAACAAAAAAAGGAGAGTAGCAGAACCTTTTTTTAGGAGTATAGGACTATCAGAAAATCCTGCTCTGCACACATCAAACTGAAGAGGCCTGAACAAAATCATGAGAAAATAGGAGTTGAAATCCACTAAAAATACCAATGGATAATTTTACATCAACAGTCCAAACACACTGATCAATAAGAGCTAATGATGCCAGCAAAGGATCTACCATCATGCTAAAGGCAGACTATTTGAGTAAGGCCTTCAAGGAAGTTGAAGAAGTTCCAATATTGTTGGACATATTTGCATAACAGTTAACAGCCTGACTTTCAACAATAAAATATGAAGTAATACATAAAGGACATCTTGAATTTTGAGTCATGTTTGTTGAGAGCATGACAGCAAACTTAACAAGGAAAGACTTTTAGTATTTCCAAATTAAGTAAACCTTATTTGAAATAAGTAAGTATAAAGTGTTAGATATATTTAATCAAATGTGATTTACTGAAGTCTATCAAAAGACAGGGGATTAAAATACAAATTTTAAAGAAACTTGTAAAGACATTAAGGGTTCTGAAATACTAAGAACATTTTTTGGTTTTTGTTAAGTAGATAAATATTCCCAGGTCATTATGAGAAACTTTAAAATCACTAAACCACAGGAGTGAACTGAAGCTAAAGGTAGATCAAGCCTTTTAACATGAATTTAAAAAATACCAGTGATAAAACTTTGAGCAACAACAAAAGATAAACTGATAAAACACACTTTAGTCATGTGCACTTCACACAAACCTGATCCTCCTGGTACCCACTTAACTCCAATCCACCAAAGTCCAAACATCGTTGAATGGTGATAAACATGAAGGAATGTCAGCTGTCTGTTCTTTTTACGTAAAATAAAAAATATTGTGTCCAAGAATTCAATACATTTGGAAAAGTAATACCACCAGAGGGCTTTGGCAATCTGGAAGCAAAAAATAAAGAAAATGACATATCAAAAGTATTTAAGTGATTTTATAAAGACAGATAATTTGTACTACTTGGTTTGACATTGTTCTTCAATATACAGAAAATAAAAAAATACATGCAGTGAATATTTAATTTATTAACATTTCACATACTAAATATGATCAACTTATTTACAACAAACTACACTGCTATATTTCATAATTATCTATCAATGTGCATGCTACTAACCTTGAGGCAACTCCCACCTACTTTCATGTGTTTTAACATGAATTGTACTGCTAAATGAGGAAGTTATCATGCAACAAAAGCCTTCCACCAATAGGAGGGTGACACAACCTCCATGTGCAGTAACTTCCCCAATGCACTTGTACTTGTGATAACTTCATTCTTTGACAAGGCAAGACAAAAAATGTGCACCAGAAGTAGGTAGGTCAAGTGATAATGTGTGTGAAGGTGAGTGTCAATAAGAAATTATCAGATTAAGAAAATGTAAATTTTCGACACAATAACTTAGCTTCACACATAGAAAAGCTGGAATCCCACTTTGAATTGGTGAAGGGACCAGTGAAAATTGCACTTAGATGAGCTCCCTTCAGAAAATGCCAAAGGGAAGTCCATGGACACTCAATGGTAAGGAATCCATAGGGGCACACTCATATGAGACTGCATCTCATCTAAACCAGGGTATACTCTTCACCCATAATGTAAGGGGTAAAAGATAAATGAGACCCATGTGTTGCAGAGATAAGTAGAATGAGAACATAACTGTCCGAGCACTTGCATACAAGTGGTTGGCAAGCCCATATGTGTAGTGTGGTTGGGGTGCAGTCACACATACCTTGTGTGCTCACCTCGATTCTATAAGACAGATTCCACTATAGGAGGAGGGCACATTAGTTATGCAATATGGTTTGGGGGGGTGACCCACACTACAGTGACAGTGTCACCACCCAAGCAGATAGGAAGCGGTAAGTGCAAGGGTCTCCTGTGCTCTACACAAAAAAGAAGGGTAGGAGGATTCACATTATGGAGACCCCAGAGAAGTGCCCGGATCTCCACTGGACCTCCAGTAGACAGTGCAATGGGTACCTGCAAATCCTATTTTTACAAGCCAGCAAGTGCAAACCAAAAAAATGAGCAGATCACATCCCTGGTGCTGGCTTTTTCTATGATATTTCATGGAATAGGTACAGTATGGATCAGATAATTGAGTAAATATACATACCATGAGATACCTTAAATGGTCTTTTCAGAACATCTCATCTCAACAGTGGGCACTGGTACAGCCAGGGCAATTATCCTGGCTCCATGCAGAGTTTGGGTAAGTATACCCTGGAAGGAGATAACAGCCACCTGGCAGAATCCTATACAATTAAAAAATGGTTCTGAAAAAGAAAGTATGTATTATTCCAAAAGACATTGGGTGACTGAAGAAGATGATTTGTCTTTGGAAACCAAGAGCTCCATCAACCTCAAACAAAGAGGAGAAGGCTTGGCCCAAATGGATCAAATACTGTAAGGGATTGAGATAGGACTTCTCCAGCTTGACTAGCCATCCCACACAAGCAGCCTCCTTTAGGAGAAAATGTGTATGAATGACAGAGGCTTGTTGGGATGGAGCTGAAGTTTGAGGAAAGATTCCATGGTGAACTGAAGGAGGTTGATGAAACAGTTGAGGTTGGATAGGTCGATGACAAGATGCCAATCTCCAGTCTTTTGGGAACCATGAATAGCTGGTAATAGAACCCCAGAGAAAGGTGATGTACTTGTTTCATAGTGTCCTTATGTAAAATATTTCAAACTGCTTCTGAGAAATGCTGGCATGAAATGGGATCCCATGGAGGAGGGAAGGAAATGGAACAAGTGGATAATGGGTGTGGGTAAAAATGAAGGGAAAGTCATTCTGACAGAATTTGGAGAATGCAGGAATCTATGGTGAATGGATGCTACAGATGAACAAACCTAACCAACTGTGTCCCAACCATTCCAGAACCTAAGGAATGGTCACCAATGCAAGAAGGCACTGGTAGTGAGGAGGAAGCGGGAGCCAAGACATGGGAATTGAAGCAGGAGAGGACTGGAAGAGATGGGAAACTAAGAAGGTAAGGGAGGAATGTTGATGAGCAGCCTCCACCCTAGATTCCAATGTATCAGGAAGATCCCCAAATACAGACTGGTGCAAAAAAGGAGCTAAACAGAGATCTCTTAAATAGGAAGCAGGGAGACACACATGTGATAAGTGGGCATCCCTGCCAAGAAGATCCCAACAACAAAGGAGCATGTATAAAAGGATAAGACTTAGGAAGATAAGTGTGTCAACATGGAAAAGAGAAGGATAGGAGTATCTGCTGAAAACTCCTCTAGGGAATGGTGGAGAGCCTCAGAAAGGAGATGAACAGACAAATATAGCAGAGGACAGTAGTGAGTGTAATCCAAAGACAAGAAAACTGGGCTGATCAGATCCCCACACCTAAATCTAAGACTCCAAGGCCTGAGAATCCTAATTTGGAAAATCTGATCTATGAAAAGCCAAAGCATAGGAGTCAGATAAACACGAAGGATGAGGCATGCTGGCACCTGAACTTAATTGGGTTAAAAACTCATCAGCATGGATTTGAATACTGGGACAGGGGGAAACACGAAATAATCCGATGAAGACGCAGAATGCCAAATCAAGAAGTGAAGAAAATCCTCTTCAGTATAGAGGGAGTCAGCTGTGCTAGGAGGGTGTGTCACACTCTTATTTGTGGAGGGTTGTTGCAAGGTTAGTAGCAGGCTACAGTGAAACTATACCACATGTAAACCCATGGGCAGATTAGAGCATCAGGGTTAGTGGCAAGTGAAAAACTGCACATATAGAGAGCAGCACAAGTTGAAAAAAGTTATTATGTGAGTGGAAGTAAGGTATCGTACCAATACTACACAAATATCCAATGGTTTTCACTGCATATAAAGCTGTGACTTTTATATTACCTCTACAGTTGGTTCCTTTGTTTAATTCTGAATCTTTATTATAAATAGCTTTTTACTTGAATAAAAAATATCATTCAAGAACATCCAACTGCTAAAGACAGTTCTTTGTAATATTAAAATATATAACACCATTTGTTTCAGTTATAAATACAATCTTATAATGCAAATATTGCTTACTTTCAAACAACTATAAAATGTTTACTCAAAGTGAAAGATAACTTTTGAAAATGTTATTTTTAAAAACTGGAAAATATTAACACTAACTCGCACTTCATGAGGATTGGGAGAAGTATCCACAAGCTGACACAACCAACTGTATTTTCGATACAGGGCACAGTATAATAGCTGTAATACACAAAAAAAAGTGTTAAATATACAGAGATAAAAAATAGATGAAAAAAGTAATGTACAGTATATGCCAACTAAGTCTGACTGTGGGAGTTAAGTTTTATAGTGAAAATTTCTAAGTTAATATAAAAATACTCTACTGTCAAAAACTAGTTAAATTCCTTTTACGTGGCAGTCCACTTTGAATACTTCACTAGACATAGCATATACACACTCTTGTAAAACTAATACTGAATAGAATACAATTATTTTACAGAAACAGAGTGGAAATTTCAGAGCCTACATAAGAATTAACACCAATTAGCACAACAGCATTTTTTTAATTAGCTACATGTGTAATTTATTTCACACACCTTAGACATAAAAAAATCAAACACATATTAAATCCTATGCTCCATGACATTTTTTTTTGTACATTACGAGTCAAATAGAAAAAAAAAAAAGATTAAAAACATAATCTATTAAATATTATATCGAGTCCATAAATGTTCTTAACATTACTAGAAATTATTAATATTAACATTAATCATGAACAGAAATTCTACACCTTTATCAGTACTAACACTTGTAAACAATTTTCATTTTGTCCAGTAACTATTCTTGGTGAAAGTAGGCTTGTCAATGAAAGGCAACTTTCTCAAATCACACCCATCGTTTTATCTCTACATTTCACACTGCAAGGGAATCAAAAGAAAATGAGGAAGTAGCTTCTTGAATAACACAGGAACCTTCGATGTTTTATACATGACTAATAGAACAAATTACATTATCATCCTTTCAAGATCAGAAAGTAAATTCATGACCGGATATTTTAGTTCTTACATGGGACTGTCTGTTCCTCCTGTCTAAAAGCTAAATAAATTTGATTCACTTCACAACATATCCCAAAACTAGCCACTAGAGCTGAGCAGTTAACTCAGTTAATGAATTACTTATGAACACTGATTACATCGCTTAATGTCACACAAAATAACTGATTAACTGAAATTGCAATTAAACTGACTGATACGAAAATAACCAACTAGTGTTCTGATTATTACCATTTTCAATTGTATAACTATCCAGTATTACTATTATGATTGTCATTATTATTTTTGATTAATTTATGTTTGTTCTGCTTAATCAACAAATGTCACATTGCATGAAACTAATCAACAAATCAAAGTTAAGTTTTTAATTATTTCTATTTTTGATTATTCCAACTATCTAATTAATCAGAATGTTGACATTATCTTTGTTGTTAATTAAAAAGCTATACATTGGGCTATATGTGCATGCCTACTGTAGGCATCACAATCAAATTATTAATATGGTCTGGTGATTAGGATTTAAGAATTCAAACTACCCTATTCTTTCCCTCTCACAAACAAGGTCTGTCCACAGGTCTGATCTTAGGGTTTTTGGGATGACTAGTCATTGAGCACCAGTTTTTCTGTGGTAATATTTTTTTTTCACTTCCTTGGGTTGGTGTCAAATCCAATACTATTCACACACCAAGTAAAGGAATAACCCATTAGACATCACTAGCTGTGGCACGGTCGGCATCAAATAGAAGTGGATGCATAGATGTTATAACCAGTGATATATTGAAATAAAATTTGAATGAATGAATGGGAAGACATTACTTTTATATTTTTTTTATATATTATGTTTATACATTAAATGTATATTATATATATATATATCTTAAAAAAATAATTGTGAAAATGATGTGGAGCATACAAGCATACATGGTAGCTATGTCACTGGTTAGTAATACATTTTCCTTTTTTTAACAACTCAAACTACCACAAAAGTAGACCAGAATTCCATACTCAGAAGGTTAAAAAAATTAATTGAAAAAGAGAATTGAAACTGTTGAATTTTAGCTGCAAAAAAAAGATTCCAAAGCCACAGAATACAAATAATGAGCAAAATGACATTCATCAACTTACAAGGAAGAGAGACAACAGCTTCAATAAAGCTCATCAATATCAAAAAAGAATATTGAAAGTAGCTGAGCAGAAGAGATCTGCTGCAAAAACACCAGGCAATAAAGGTAAGGAAGATAAAGCAGAAGTGCAGAATAAGAAGGCCTTCCACACAACCTCAGCTACTTCTAATATTTGCTACATCTAAATAACACAATAACAGTAAATAAAAATGAAACATGTTAGAATTTAAAATATAATTATTTTGCCAATTGTCAAAATAAAAGGCTTTTACTTATACTTCTTAATATACACCTGGAAAAAAGTTAAGCACCCCCGTGTTTTTTTCAAGTGATTCAGATTCGACGTTCTTGTGACTGATTATAAATTACCATTCAATCTAAACGTGTT